GATTTGAAGGAGAGGTAGAGCTGGGAATCATTTGCATACACATACACAGAAGCCTACCAATATGTTCTCTAACCTATGAGAGGAAAAAACGATACATCTTTGAGAAAAGTTTTTTTAAAAAAACAAACCAACAACCATACATTAATTTATTTGTATCAAAGGACTGCCCCTTCCAGTTCTTATACTTTATGGCCAGGGTTTGGAACTTCAGTCCCAAGGGCCAAATGTAGCCTTCCGGCCACCCACCTCCTACAGGCCACTTCCTCCTTGAACATTTTTGCCTGGTGGTTCTCCAGTGGTTCTGGTTTCATCTCCAGGGACAGCTGAAGAAGGTAGCAGTAGATTAGTGTTCCTCAGCCCCATGACTCTTGAGCTATGTGGTGCCAAAGAACACTCTATTGTATCCTGTGCTGTTTAACATCTATCTATATGAAATCACCAGGAGTGGTCAGTGGGAGATATGGAATGAAGTATCATCAGGGCACTGATCAAACCCAAATTTTTCTCGATAGCATCTGAATCAGGAATGGTCGAGCAGGCCCTGATGTCCAGATGCAGTGGTGGACTTTGAGGGCTAACAACTGGGTCAGAATCCTGGCAAGTCAGAGGTGGGGGATTCCCAGGATGAGAAGTCAGTAAATGGGGTCCCAGTCTCCCTGAATGTAGTGTGTAGTTTGTGGGTGCACCTTGATCAGTTTTATATCTATGCATGTGTTCAGGTTTTTCTTCTGTTTTGGTTTTCTACTAGTTTTAAGATTATAAATCTAATAAGTGCAATAAGTAAATAAATAATAGATCTAGCCCTGTTACTGGGGGCGTAGGTCTCCTCAGTAGCTAAGGGTGCATTTGACCACCTATGGCTGGTAACAGTGCTTTTTTTCTGGGTGGATGCAGGGGTACGCATACCCCTAAACATTTTGTGAATCTAAGTTTGGCCTCATTGAGGGGCAGTATTTTAATATGAGTAGGAAAATGAGAGTATCCCTAAACATTTTTTAAAGAAAAGCAGCACTGACTGGTAAGGTGGCTCTGACTGTTTTTGAATCATGACAGCTTGACCACACTTGCCCATGCATTAGTAACATCAAGTTTGGATTACTGCCATACACTCTATGTGGGGCTACTCTTGAGGTTGGTCGGGCAGCAGCAGCAAGTGCAGAACACAGTGGCTAGGTTGTTTGGGGGGGACAAACTACTATCAAGGTACAACACGATATTTTCTGGATTTGCACTTGTTTCCAGTCTGCTACCAGGGAAAGTTCAAGATTTTGGTACTAACATGTAAGATCCAATACAGCTCAAGACAAGGTTACTTGAGAGAACAGCTTATTCCTTATATTCCCAGTAGATCACTGTGTTGTGCAGGAGAATTTCTCCTTAAAGTCCCCAAAACATCAGATGCAAGAACTCAGAGCAGGGCCTTCAGTGTAGTGGCCCGTTTTGTGGAGCAGCATCCCTGCTGACATACAACAAGCAAACCACTAGATGTACTTTCCAGAAACAACTGAAGACAATTTCGTTTACACAAGCTTTTCCAGCCACATGAAAATATATCTGCGTCAGGTTTAAAAACAATACAGAAGAAACACCTATCTTTAGTTACATTTGTACTTTTTAAAACAATTTTTAGCTGTTTTATGTTATGTTTGTAACATGCCTTGCGACAAATGCAAAAGGTGATTCATGAATTAATTAAATAACAACTAGAATGGTCCTAAGTTCTGGCTTCTGTCAGAGCATCTTCAGAATTCTAAAGATACATCATCCTCATAACTAAACCGTTAACTAAACACATTTATTTATATCGGTTTGTCTTCAGTTCAAAATCTCCCTTTGGTGAATGTCGATTTATACATTCTTTTAAAACTTCCCAGATACTTGTTTCCTGTGCAGTTCATTCATTAACTTCACTCTTCTCTTTCCCCTTTATAAATGAGAACCTTTTCAGTCCTTTTAAACAAGCTAAAAGTTATTATGCTGACTCATGTTTCCCAATCATTTGGATTCAACTCAGCTTCCTTTTTAAAAAGTAATCTTTTAAAAAAATAAGAAGGCATAAATCTCTAAATTCCCGCTTAGATTTTTTTTCTTTTTTGCATAATTTTACTCCAACACATCACTGAAGTAATTTCAAAGAACTGTATCAACAGTGTAATAACAAACATCAGTTGCTACTGATACCAAAACGACCTTAACGGCTTTTTGCTGCTTCTATAAGCTTCAGAACGCTATCACCCTACTCAAAAGCAAACGGCAACGTGACAAAAATGCAGGGAAGGCGAAGAAAAATGCAGTAAAGTAGAGGCTTGCAAGTTTAGCACACATCAGCTTTCAATTCCCATGCACTGCCCTAATGGTGTTGTGCACAAGCTATTAAACTGCTGAACTTTTTTTTATTTTGCACAAAGCACCGGTGGCTTGCAAACTCCAAGCTACTCTCCCCTAAGCTTTCCATTTCACAATAGCAACAGAGCAGTTAGAGGCTATCTTCAGCTCATCAGCACCCTGTCAGAAGTACATTGCACAACATTTTATCTCCTTACCCCTGGTGTGCATCGAGAGCAGCATGAGGAGGGAAACGTGAAACCTCCAGTTTGGTTCTTCTAGCCAGTTCATTGCAGTAGCAGCAGCAGCAGCAGCAGCAGCAGCAGTGATTTGCTTGTGGTTTAAATCTCCCGTTTCTTTCCTTTTCTTATTTCACTTTGCAGCCCTTTTGCACTCCCGCCTCTCTCAGATCCTCACATGAGTCTTGCCAGCAAAGCCTGGAGAGGAGAAGGTGAAAGACAAGCCTGTTACAAACTGGTTCTGTCACCACATAGTCCTCAACTGATCACCCTCGTGGGGAGGACAACAAAAGGGCAGCAAGGCTCTCAAGCCGGACTGGATTCCTGAGACAGGAGCATGGACTGATCGCTGCCCACACTGGGAATGTGTGTAAACTTAGAAGCTGCAGCCAGAGAGACAGAGACAGAGAGATTTCAGCTCCTCTCTTCTCTTTTACACTCATGTGCACAAAACAAAGCCAGGAGATCCTTGAGGAATACAAAGAAACTACCAAACTGCCAGGCGTTCTTATGAAAACAAAAGTACAACTGTGATTTCTTCACTTCGAATTAGCTTGTTAACCATGCTTTGCACTGAGCAACAGAAAGTTGCGCAGCTTCAAATTATGAGGTTTTAAAAAGTTGTTTGTTTGGCTTCTCATTTCGGCCTATTCCCGAGGAACCAAGGCAAAAATAAAAGCTTTTTTAAAATGGCATTTTAAGTAAACCGAGCTTTAGATCACTGTGTCTACCACTCAGCACCAGTCATACAGTGAGGCAGAAGGAAGTGGGCACATCAATCTGCAGGTTTTAAAGGGTGATTAATCATCAGTAATATTTTTTCGTTGTTTCTATAGTGATGGGTGATATTACTCAAACTGACCTTTCCTAAACACAGGCTAATTTCGGCTCATTTTTGATCAGGCCAAATTACTATTTTAAGCACAGCTCCATCAAAGCTCCATCACACTTTTGGAGATGTCACTGGAAACGCAAGATCTGGAACAAGCTGGGGCTCTGAATGCTCTCCATCGCTTCTGCAAGGCTCCCTGCTCTTCTCCTTAAATCTCTGCATGGAACGCTGGTGCCCCAGAAGTGTCCTTTCATAAGAACCCAAAGCACCATGAGTCTATAATTTCCTTGGCTCCTTGGTGCCAAGAATGCACGCTGAGGATTCCTAGGAATTGTACCATTCAAGGGTTCCTTTGCTAAGGATCCAGAACTACTGGGAAATGACATCGCACATAGCTTTTGTCACTGCAAGGCCCAATGAATGCCTAGCTCCTTGCATCCTTCCTGTAATGCAAGTTTCAGCAGTGAGGTGGCTGGAGGCTGCTCCTGGGGAGGTAGGGACTCGGCTTATTATGAGCTAAGCTCAAATTCCAGAAATCTGGAGGTGGAAGGGAACAACTACTCTAGAAATTTTGGACTTGGGAAGTTTGATTCTGAAGTTTGGGTGCATCACTATTAGACAACAGTCCTATGCCCTCTTACCTGTGGGTAAAGGTAAAGGTAAAGGGAACCCTGACCATTAGGTCCAGTCGTGGACGACTCTGGGGTTGCGGCGCTCATCTCACTTTATTGGCTGAGGGAGCTGGCATACAGCTTCCGGGTCATATGGCCAGCATGACTAAGCCGCTTCTGGCGAACCAGAGCAGAGCACGGAAATGCCGTTTACCTTCCTGCTGGAGTGGTACCTATTTATCTACTTGCACTTTGATTTGCTTTCAAACTTATAGATTGGCAGGAGCAGGGACTGAGCAACGGGAGCTCACCCTATCGCGGGGATTTGAACCGCCGACCTTCTGATCGGCAAGCCCTAGGCTCAGTGGTTGAGACCACAGCTCCAAGCCCTGTTAAAAACTCACTGGGACTTACGCCTGCAAAGACATGGAGAAGATGGCACTGCTAGTTACTAAAATGTCTGGGGCCAAACCTGTCTCCACTTTGTAAGCCTGGGTTCCTGATGTTTTTGCAAGATAGTATGTCCACTTGCTTTTGGGCGCCCACAATGGCAGATTAGCCATAACCCCAATATCAAAATATAGCAGTACAGGTTGTTTGTAGTTTAATGTTATATATTTACTGAGCAGCCACAAACCCTCTTCTGTGGATAACAAATAGGTTATTTTGATCTGATCAAAGAAAGGTTGTGCAGGTGAGATACATCTATGCTCTTCAACAACCACAAAACATATTATTTTGACACAAGACTCAGTCTTTCATGATGAATTTAGAAGTTAAACTAGGTGAAAAGGATTGTGCACACTGAATCAAAAAATGCAAGCATACCAGTATACCAACAGTGGGGGGGTCATTAAAAATATTCGTATATGCAAAATATTACTGAATATATTACAGAAACCAATATTTCACCATTTCTTACCATATATACTTTATACAAAGTTTTTTTATTAAAAAAAAATCACAACATCACATTATTGCAATTTTAAAAATGGGTCATAATTCAGTAGTAAAACATTAGCTTTGTATGCAAAAGTTCCCAAGTTCAAACCCTGGTGTCTCCAGTTAGAGCTTGTTAAGTCTCCACCCGGAGAGCTGCTGCCGGTCAGTGTCAGCAATACTGAACTAGACAAACCAATGGTGCGACTGAGTACAAAGCAGTTTCTTATGTTCCAAAATCAGCAGGACACCCTTTTGTTTCGTTTCTTTCTTAAAAGTGGTTTCTCTAAGAGTCTGATCTTAATTGAAAGAATTCGCAGTTCTGAAAATAACACCCGAACATCTGGCCCAAACAATACTGTTGTCCTTATAATACTGCAAGAAATGGAAGACACAAGATCTACCCACTTTGGAAGAATGGCAGATGAAGGTGATTGACTACATGGAATTGGCGGAAATGACTGGCAGAATCCGAGACCAGGGAGAAGAGTAGGTGAAAGAAGACTGGAAGAAATTTAAAGACTATTTACAGAAATATTGTAAAATCAAGTAATCTTAGAAGGATGTTGGATAGAAACTAAGAGGTTTTTAGCTGTAATGCTTTAAGAGATATGAAAAAAGGTTTACAATTGGGTAAAAGCTTAATGGTAAGGATTTGCTGAACTAACAAACTGAACTGGAATACACAAAGGGAGGTACGAGGAGGTCCGGGAAATAAGAGCAAGGAAGATAGGTTATGGAAAATTATTGTGTTTTTAACTGTTTTATTTTGTATGTTTTTCCTTATTCTCTACTTTTTTGTTATATCTTAAAACTTTATACTTTTTTCTTTATTTTGTATTTTCATGTATTTTTTGAAACTTTAATAAATATCATTATAAATATATATATATATATATATATATATAATACTGCAAGAAAAAGGCAGTGTGCGGAGAAGACTCTGTTTGGGGGGTAGGACATGTCAGGAGTTCAGCCTACACTCGAGTAGGACCCTGGTAGAGACACATGCCTGACTGGCATGTTCTCTCCCTCCTGGTTGTTCTTTCAGGAGCTTCAAAAGCTTTCTTCTGCCTGAACATCACAGCGACCGATGCCAACCAAAACTGGCACACATAGGGATCCGCAGAGTTTGCACAGTTGCGTAACAGACCTCAGCAACTCAGCATTTTGGCTAATCTACTTTATTTACATATAAACACACACGGAGCACTGTAACATGGCTCCCTCTCTAGCATCAGGCAGCAAAGAGAAAAAACAAAGGACAAAAGTCCCACTTCACGGAACACAGTAACACAAACATCCTGCCTCCGTCACTTCCCACTCTGTGGAGTCAAAATATACACCATCATGTGAAAGACAACAATCCCATGACTGCAATCACGGAGCAGGAATTCTAACAGGACAGTGGTGACCACAAGGATGGCCAGAACTGAAACCTGAAGTGAACTAGAGGGCAGTGTGAAGAAGCAGGAGGAACAGAGGCATTATGAGTTCCATACTTGGCATTTCCTCCTAGACTGTGGAAGGCAGAAACATAGGGCAACAGGAATGTGTGTCCCCATTCCTGGGCAGGGAAATAGGAACAGAGGGAGGAAGGAGCATGGTGGTGTTCAGTGAGGGGACTCAAAAACTATCTGAAGAGGAACCCCTTCCTGAAAGAGGTGAAGAATAAGCAGACACAGAGGATTTGGCATAAAAAGCCATCTCCACCCCCAGGCTGGCTCCTACAGGGTTTCATGCACCAAAGTCTGGTCAAAGCAGGGATTAACACTGTAAATAACTACATAAAATAAATGCTGAAGATGCTGCTGTCTTTATTTTTTGTTTGTCTGAGTCATTTTTAGACCGCCTTTCCATCCAAGAATCCCAAAGGAATTGGAATAGAATTCCAACACTAACTGTACCCCAACCATGCCCACTCAGAAGTAAATCTAGAGGATTAAATGGAGATTACTTGTATGCAAGTGGGCCCAAAGCATTGTAACACGTGTAAACATACATTAAAAACATACGTAAAATCAAAATCAAATTCAAAAGGAGACAATGGCTTGGTTCGCACAATATTATGAACTTAGTGACACTGCGGCTGCATTCACCTCACAATTTGTTCTATTTTCACTACGTTTCCCCAACATTGTATTTGAGTTTTCACAGGATGTAAAAGCCAATTCCAGAACTATAGTGGAATATTTCTGTATTATTTACAGGTTATTATTCCAAAAGTAGCTTTTATGTTGTGCAAAAGCTCAAATATAATGTGGAACGTAAGAGTCATGAAAATCAAATAAACTGTCATGTGAATGCAGCCTGAATGGATACTGGATCTCCCAGAGAGCAGTTTATACTCACTTAGTTCCTCCCTTGCCCTTTCTGCTAATGCACTGCATGAGCAAAATCAAGGTTTGACTTAGTGTGGCCTCTGAACTAGGACTTGTGGTTAAGTTCACTCCTCATCAACCACAGGCTAAGAGGTTTGGACCTGGAACAACACTACATTGTGAAGTAGTGACATACCTGGGTGGGTAAGAGGCTTCCCCCCACCATGACTAATGGGGATGGAGGCTTAGACAAATTCTCCAAGATCAAAGGCAGCATGCTTCTGGAATAACAGCTAGGGGTGGCAACTGCCCTCACGTGCTGCTTATGCGCTTTACAATAAACATGTGGCTTGCCTCTGTAGGAAGATAGATACTGGGCTGGAAACCCCCAAATAAAATTCATTACATATTTTGCAAAGTTGTTTGCTTGCTATGCATCTGGACATTTCTTAATGTTGTGTGATGGTTCCTCAGTTCAAGGAGCAGGTTTCTATCTATGTTTGGATAACAGTGGCTGCCATTTCTAAACATTTCAAAACAACACTGTTTTTAACCACTGATTTTAAAACTGCACTGATGTTGTTGTTGTTTGGAATTCCAACCAATGCCAGGTACAAGACTCCTGGTATAATTAAAATCTCTAGAAACATTTACATGATAAAGTGCAATTTCCAGTGACGGTACATATTCACTTGGGCATAGCCAGATGTTGATGGACTTCAGCTCCCATCAGCCCCAGCTAGTATGGACAAAGGTCAGGGATGATGGGAGCTGTAGTCCAATGACATTGGGAGCCCATTGACTACCCCATTCTACACCAACACCTCACTGCCCTCTGAGCTACCAAGGATGGGACATCAATGAGAGAAGTAACCATTCAGCCGCCATGATCAAAACGTGCACAGATTAGTCTGAGTATCATATGGTGAGGTTTCAACATCAACCATATTACAGGAATAATGCTATAAATCGGGCCTATGTACATATCATGCAAAACTGAAAGCAAAGATAAATATTGATCATAAAAGGTAAAGAGAACAAACGAAACACACAGAGAGAGAGCTATCTCCCATCTCTCTCCTTTCTTTCTGAACAGGTGTCATTTGTACATGTTTGTACTAGCTAGCCCAGGAACCTATTTGTGGCTCATCTCACAACATTTTTCATGTCACAAAACTGATTCTATTACAGTTCCTAATGTATCGTGAACGTGTCTGCTTTGTTTCAACGCCACTTTGCGAGTTTCCTAACAGAACTTACTTGTCAGCATATGCAGTGCTTGCAAAAGTGTGGTTTATCCATCACTGTCACGCCACTTTAGAGAAGGAAAGGGCCAATATACTCATGAGGACTGCTTCTGCTTCTATCTAGACCAAGCCCATAGCCTACCAAGACTATACGCACATTAGCAGCTTAAAATGGAGTGAGGTTGTCGCCCCCGTCCACTGTATTTCAAGTCACATTTGCACACTGTTGTACATACCAGAGAGGGGGTGGGCATGGGCATTGTCTTTTGGTTTTCCCACCCCTACGACTTCCCCAACACAACTCCCCCCAATTCATGAAGCTGTCATCTGCATACAGTGGTACCTCGGGTTACAAACGCTTCGGATTACAAACGCTTCGGGTTATAAACTCCGCTAACCCAGAAGTAGTACCTCGGGTTAAGAACTTTACCTCAGGATGAGAACAGAAATTGCATACTGGCAGCACGGCGGCAGCAGGAGGCCCCATTAGCTAAAGTGGTACCTCAGGTTAAGAACGGTTTCAGGTTAAGAACGGACCTCCAGAACGAATTAAGTTCGTAACCTGAGGTACCACTGTATGCACAATGGCTATCTCAAACGTGCACACCTCAGACTAACTGCAAAGTCACTTTGGCTTAAACTTTCGTATTGAGGGAAAACCCATCAAACAGTAGTATTTCTCAAGAAACTTCAGGATAGGTCTGCTCCATTGTGGGTAATGCCATGTGTACATGGATACAAAAAACCAGCAGTGGGACCATGCTGAAACCAGAGTAAACAGTAATGTTGTACACAGCCTTTCCCTCTACAGTGGTGCCCCGCAAGACGAATGCCTCGCAAGACGAAAAACTCGCTGGACGAAAAGGTTTTGCGTTTTTTGAGTCATTCCGCAAGACGAATTTCCCTATGGGCTTGCTTCGCAAGACGAAACGTCTTGCGAGTTCTTGCGAGTTTATTTCCTTTTTCTTAAAGCCGCTAAGCCGTTAATAGCCGCTAAGCCGCTAATAGACGAAAAAACCGCAAGACGAAGAGACTCGCGGAACGGATTAATTTCGTCTTGCGAGGCACCACTGTACTTCCAATGTCACAGCACAGCTAAAGTTTAAGAAGTCTGGCTGCTAACTTGGAGGTTGGTGGTTCGAACTCACCCAGGGATGGCTGTGGGCAGGATTCCTGCATTGCATAGGGCTGGACTAAATGACCCTCGGGATCCCTTCCAACTCTACTTTTCTAAAATTCTGTGATACTTCATTGGGGCAACAGCCATTTCTTACACCAGTAAGCTTCTGACTTTAAGAATCCAGCAACATATAAAAGATGCCACTGAATCAGCAGCCCATGACAAAAAAATCATGCTACGTCTGCATCTGAATCCAACCCTGAAATAAGAAGGGACATGTGCTGATAGTTCTGACGCGAGACCAACAAGCATCCTTATCTCCTTGGTAAGAGAACAGAGGCTGCTGAACTGTATAATGCTAAGGGAATTCTACTGGGAGGCTCAGGTTTTACTCAGTTTTATTCCTGCTTTCATATTACTGGTGCAATTAAGAAGTC